ACTGCCAGGTCACTGACCTCCTCCCTGTAGGCTGTCTCATCATCGCCGGTGATCAGGCCTACCACCGTCAAGTCATTAGCAAACTTGATGATGGTGTTGGAGTCGTGCACGTCCACACAGTCATGGTGAACAGGGAGTACAGGAGGGGACTAAGCACACACCTCTGTGTTGAGGATCAGTGTGGCGGAGGTGATGTTGCCTACCTTCACCACCTGGGGGCGGCCTGTCAAGAAGTCCAGGATCCAGTTGCTGAGGGAGGTGTTCAGTCCCATGGTCCTAAACTTGGTGATGAGCTTGGAGGGGACAATGGTGTTAAACAGTATTCTCACATAGGTATTCCTCTTATAGGTGGGTGAGGGCAGTGAGGAGTGCAATTGAGATTGCATCATCTATGGATCTCTTGGGGCGGTATGCAAATTGGAGTGGTTCTAGGGTGTCTGGGATGATGGAGTTGATGTGTGCCATAATTAGCCTTTCAAATCACTTAATGATTACAGATGTGAGCGCTACAGGGTGGTAGTCATTGTGGCATGAAACCTTAGAGTTCTTGGGAACAGGAATGATGATAGTCATCTTAAGACGAGGGGATTACAGACTGGGACAAGGAGAGGTTGAAAATTACCGTGAATATGCCTGCCAGCTGATCTGCGCATGCTCTGAGAACACGCCCTGGAATACCGTCCGGCCCCTCGGCCTTGCGAGTGTTGTCCTGATTAAAGACCTTACTCACGTCGGCCTCGGAGAGTGAGATCACCCTGTCCTCTGGGTTGGTGGGGCCCCTCGTGCACGGTACGGTGTTGTTATTGTAGAAACGTGCATAAAATGCATTGAGTTTGTCTGGAAGAGAGGCATCATTGGGCAGATCATGGCTGGGTCTTCCTGTGTAATATGATCCCACCTTATTTCTACATAGTCCTTGTAGCGGGACTTCTTGTACTTGTTCCTGTCCTCAGCCATAGCCTCAGGGTTGTCTACGATAGCCCTGTGTGCGGTAGCCCTGTCCTTTAGTTTAGCGCCAACCTCAGTGTTAATCCAGGGCTTTTGATTGGGGAAGCAGCAATTCTTCACTGTGGGGACAACGCCGCCGATGCATTTCCTTACCAAGTCGGTGACGGAGGTGGTTAGCTCGTCGATGTTATCGTTGATGTTATCGGGTGTTATCAGAGTCTCTGAACATATTCCAATCAGCAAATTAGTCCTGAAGCATAATCTCTGATTCTGATATTTACAGCCATAAAGATAATAATATATCGCTAGGAGATAATCCGTCATCAGTATTGTATTGATGAAACCGAACCCTTATTCTAATGCTTACACAATAATACACTAGTCTTGCTAACACCAGCGCCTCTACGTCCTTGACGTCACGTGGGTCGCGCGTCAGCTAGGCTAATAATAATGCACTAAAATCACAGATTGCGCACATGTTGTTACACATCATGAAATACACTACATGACCAAAAGTATGTGGACACGTGCTCGTCGAACATCTCATTCCAAAATCATGGGCATTAATATGGAGTTTGTCCCCCCTTTCGCTGCTATAACAGCCTCAACTCTTCTGGGAAGGCTTTCCACAGCCACAAGCGCATTAGTGAGGTCGGGCACTGATGTTGGGCGATCAGGCCTGGCTCGCAGTCGGCGTTCCAATTCATCCCAAAGGTGTTCGATGGAGTTGGGGTCAGTGCTCTGTGCAGGCCAGTCAAGTTCTTCCACATCGATCTCGACAAACCATTTCTGTTTGGACCTCGCTTTGTGCACGGGGGCATTGTCATGCTGAAACAGAAAAGGGCCTTCCCCAAACTGTTGCCACAAAGTTGGAAGCACAGAATTGTCTAGAATGTCATTGTATGCTGTAGTGTTAAGATTTCCCTTCACTGGAACTAAGGGGCCTAGCCCAAACCATGAAAACAGCCCCAGACCATTCATCCTCCTCCACCAAACTTTACAGTTGGCACTATAAATTGGGACAGGTCGTGTTCTCCTGGCATCCGCCAAATCCAGATTCCTCCGTCGGACTGCCAGATGGTGAAGCGTGATTTATTACCCCAGAGAACGTGTTTCCACTGCTCCAGAGTCCAATGGCGGCGAGCTTTACACCACTCCAGCCGACGCTTGGCATTGCACATGGTGATCTTAGGCTTGTGTGCGGTTGCTCGGTTAGGGAAACCCATTTCATGAAGCTCCTGACCAACAGTTCTTGTGCTGACGTTGCTTCCATAGGTAGTGAGTGTTGCAACCGAGGACAGACTATTTTTACGCGCTACGCACTTAAGCACCTGGCGGTCCTGTTCTGTGAGCTTGTGTGGCCTACCACTTTGCGGCTGAGCTGTTGTTGCCCCTAGATGTTTCAACTTCACAATAACAGCACTTACAGTTGACCGAGGCAGCTCTAGCAGGGCAGAAATTTGATGAACTGACTTGTTGGAAAGGTGGCATCCTATGTCAGTGCCACGTTGAAAGTCACTGAGGTCTTCAGTAAGGCCATTCCAATGCCAATATTTGTCTATGGAGATTGCATGGCTGTGTGCTCGATTTTATACACTGAAATAGCTGAATCCACTAACTTGAAGGGGTGTCCACATACCTTTGAGGCAAAAATTTCAGTCAGTAGGCTAACCTACAATTATCAAAATAGATCTCAATTGACTGAAAAAGAAGTTGATTTAAATATTATTGAAATATATACGCCTATGTAAACTGTACTAATCTTTTAGTCATCTCGGTTTTCATTTGAAGCATATTTTTATCCTACGCTTGTTTGTAAAAATTGCAAAGACATTGGCAACTTTGTTCTGAAGTTATCTGCAGTCACAGAGAGACCGACAAGCATTTTGATTCTATGTTAAGCACAGATCTTTTTTGTATAAAGTGATGCAGAAGGGCAAAAAAGCACCTTACAATGCTGTTTTACGAATGGTCTGAGGCAGTCGGTAAATAACAAGTGTTTCCAAGTGCAACTTTAGTAACGATGGTTTCGGTAGACTCTGAGATTAAACGATGCTCCTACGGAGGTTCTTACGATGATCTTGGGCTTAATATGCTTTTGGAAAATCGGGCCCAGTATGATATTCCATACACAAGCATTCAGCTCATCATCTGTACTGATGTGGTAATAATTTACTGAATAATTTATTCCCAGGGACAAACACATGGCATTGTGGTAATTTGAACCACGTAAGCCTTGTAATTAGTTGGATGGAGTAATTGCCATTGAGTTATGGATTGAAAACAGGCAGCTTTTGACCGTGACCATTGTTAGCTGTTGTGTTTTGTTCTAGCTAAAAGGCTTTTTCCCCCTGCTGGAGAGTGGTGAGCGATGTTTCTGACAGTTGTGATGGGGAGTTAATTGGTGTTGTTTGATTCTGTGGAAAGAACATACAGTGTATAGAACCTCAGTGAACATATTCATAGATTCAGACCACACAGGGTTCTGCTTCAATGGCAAGGCAAGCGTTTAACATGATTGGGTTTCTCTAAGAGGTCAAAGGCTACTCTGCTGTGAATGTAACCAACAGGGGTTCATACCAGGGTTGTCAGCACAATGAACCCATCAAACAGGACAGTTAGATAGTATTTTTAGACTTTGTTGTGGAAGCCAGGGTTGTGAATTGACTGAATTGAAAACTGAATTGGTGGAAGAATAATGACCTAACTCTGCTATACATAGTCTAGAGATACGACTTTAGCCTCTTCTATATTTTATATTTTTGTCCCAGTTTGTCCCAGAGTTTCAGACAGGAAAATGTTTAATGACTCAGCGCTTTTCCTTCAGGCGAGCTCAACAGAGGGAAATGATAAACAAACTCTTTAATATTTGACGAGTTTCTTAAGAAGGTCTCAATTGTCCGGGTTCTACATCACCCAGGACTGCTGATGCTCCAACAGGGCTCTATGGTACAGCAGTGATCGAATATGCAGGTGTGGTACTGCCATCCCCCACAGATTCCCATCCAGCTCCCCTCAGACTCCCAGCCCCCCTATTTCATATTCTTCTCCTTTGAAGGTATAAAGATGATTAAGTTTGATAGAGACCAAACCCTTTACCATGATCCATCCTCATATACATATACGGTATCTCTACACCAATGCACGCACACGCAAACACACATACACACACACACACACACACACAGTGTTGTTCTGTGCAGTGCACTCCCTGGAAAATACTTCACCCCTGCCCCACAGATCCCTCTAATAAGGCTGATTCTCCCTCTGCTAGTGTGTTTCCCAGATTGAGTATCGATCGTCCGATCCCCCTCTCTCATATTTCTCCCTCTCCTGTAGAGCAGGGGAGCTGGGATGCAGACTGAGGGGATGTCCTCTCTCTCTAACAGCAGTGTGGCATTGCACCATGCAACTTAAAGGCTTAAATGTTTAATGGGACTGATCTGGCAAGCTAGTCCGGCAAAAAAAATGTATGCCCTCAAGGTGGGCATCAACACAATCCCTGTAGATGACATTGATCACTTGGATTGTATGGGAAAAGTAATCCGACTCGCATTTCCAAATTGCAACCAAAGATCCCCATCACTCGCATACAACCACACACACACACACACACACACACACACACACACACACACACACACACACACAGCCTTTGCCCTACCTTGAGAGCCTCCTGGATGTGTTCCTCTTCCTGCTTGGCAGCCTTCCTGTCCTCCGTTTCTTCCTTCCACTTCCCTGCCACAAAACGGGCCTTCTCCTTCGCCATAGCACCCCGGAACTTCTCCTCAATCTCAGCCTCTTTGGTTCGCCTGGGCAAGAGGGTTGTTGAAAAACACTTTGTTGTGAAAGGAAGGGGTGGGAAACCTACCTAAAGCCCAATTTGACAAGGGTTGCATCAAAGACATCTTTGGAGAGTTTCATTCTAGTTTTGTCTCTATAACACACATCTCCCTATCTACCCATCTCATCCCTCATACAGTATAATCTCTCTGGCACATTTTCCCTTGCTTCAATATAATTTACAATGGGTTATCCCTCCCCACTCACCAGAGCTCCTTGGCCTCCTGCTGAGCCTGCCGTCTGGCTTTTTCCCCCATCAACTCCTTGATGATGTCCTCATAAGGCTTATCCCCAGGAGCGTCGCCCATCACCCACACCCACACATCCCCATCGCTGCCCTGCAGCCACTGGATACTTCTCCTGCTGCCTGAGTGGGCACAGTGGGGTTAGCATGTTAGCATCACCTTTGACTGTCTGTGTCTGTGACTAATAAAACCAAACACAACCTCTACAGTCTCCAGTTTATTTGGGAATATTCTATTTAACCATACTTACCAATACCAAACATCCCTATGAAGTCATAATTTAGACACAGCTAAAAGCATGTCTAAATCTACACTCCGCTTGTCAAAAAAACACTCAGTACAGTACACCCAGACTCACCCTTCTTCCCCTGGTCCTGGTCCTGGTTCTCCTGGTTCTCTTGGTTCTCCCTCTCATCCCAGCGCCTCACCTGCTCCTGGCGGATCTTATAGAATAGGATGTGCTTCTGCTCCTCGTTGAGCTCCGCCAGCAGGTCCGGATCGATGTACATGTCCCTCAAAATCTGTTGCATCATCTTGGCAACACACAGCTTCCAAACACCCAAGAGATATGTTAACCACAGTGGGGTCAGGGGGCCATGAACCCCTTTTATCAGTTCACTTCATGTTCAGGAGAAGTGTCATTCCCTCCGTCTATGTTTTCATTCGGTCCTCAGAGACACTACTGGGCTGTAGAGTTCAGATCCTTGTGCCTCTTCTCTGTTCTCTTACCATCAAACTGGATCCAGCACCAGAACAAAAACGCAGGTGCCATCTTCTTTCCCTCTGCTCCATGTGCTTTGAAGCGAGGGGTTTTAACCTGATCGCTGGTGTGTGTGTGTGTGTGTGTGTGTGTGTGTAAGCACAGATCCCTTTACCTGATGTGCAACACGATAGTCTTTAGTGCAGGAGTGGGAAAGAATGAAACTCATGCCCATCTTCCATGTACAACCTATGGAAATGTTAACACATGCTATTAGTATCAGATTAGTGTTGTTTTCTTTCTATCCTTCCTGCTATCTTATAATTAAGTGTGTATGTTTTATTCAGAGCTAGACAACAGGTAATTCAGTGTTATAATGAAATTAATTAATACACCCAGACAAATGCCTAATTCATGGAAGTCATTATACCATCCATGTCCACTGTAATATGCCTTTAGATTTACAACAATCTCTTTGATAGGACTTAGTTACAACATCTCGTATCCCTTCCACCAGCTAAATGAACCATCCATAGTACAGTAAATAGGGCAGACATAAAGTTGACCTCTCCCCTAGCTCGGCTCTGTTTCACAATGATGTCATTGGGAGAATGACTTCCTCTACTTCCATTCCCTGTGCTGTAGGTTGTCTGCCTACCTGTCCCTGTTCAGGGGCAGACAGGGTGGTTTTACCTTCACAGGCCAACACTGAAAATGGATACTACAGCAAACACCAGGTTGCCATGGCTGTCAGCTGTGTGTGTGTGTGTGTGTGTGTGTGCCTCTCTGTCTGTCTCAGGGTCTTAGTATTCAGTAAGCATACAGCCCAACATGATATGCTTTGCTGGGGACCGTCATCCACAAACTGCTATGAGGCACATTTTCCCTCTCCACTCTCTCTCTTTCTCTCTCTCCTGCTCTTTTTATCAACATCTCTCTCTCTTTCAACCAAACAGTAATTTGTCTTCTTTGTCTCAAAGACCATTAAAAAGTTTTTCTATTGTTGATCACTTTGGCCTTAAGCATAGCTTTAGGATAGATATTTAGGGATAAAACACTCTAATTGGGTGTTCTTACTAGTGACGGGGAAAAAATGGATACAGTTACATATGGGGATATTATTTTTGACGATATATTCTATTGTATCATTTTGACAATATCGCAATATTATTTTTGAGCTAGTTGGCTGTACCTGCACCAAAATTCCAGTATTCTTCCTTCATAGCTTGTTCTCCATCTTCTTTTTAAATAGGAAGCCAATTTATTTTCAGCTATTTTATTTCCATGACTGATCAAAACTAGTTTTCTCATGGCTTTCTCTTGTCCCTCTGCAGCAGACATATGGTGAGCAATATGTTTGGAACATCGAATCACAATACAATCACAGTATCAAATTTCAGTACACACCGTATAGAGTTGTGAAAATCGTGAGAATCGCAATGCATATCGTATCGGCACCTAAGTATCGTGATAACATCGTATTGTGAAGTCCCTGGTAATTCCCAGCCCTAGTTCTTCCTGTGAAAGCCTCTCAACAGCATACCAATAATGGAAATGAAAGGCTAAACCTCTTCATAACGAAGTAGGAAACCATTCATTCAGAAATGTAATTGATCATTGTTATATGAATAGCTATAATGAAAACTAACCAGGGTTGAGCTGCTGAAATACATACTTTATCACAAGATGGGCTCCCGAGTGGCGCAGTGGTCTAAGGCAACTGCATCTCAGTGCTTGAGGCGTCACTACAAACCCCCTGGTTCGATTCCAGGCTGTATCACAACCGGCCATGATTGGGAGTCCCATAGGGCGGCACACAATTGGCCCAGCGTCGTCCGGGTTTGGCCGGTGTAGGCCGTCATTGTAAATAAGAATTTGTTCTTAACTGACTTGCTTAGTTAAGTAAAGGTAAAATTAAAATCTACTTTAGAAAGCAATCAGAGTGAACGGAAATAGTATCATCCTCTATTGAGAGTTAATTACAGTCTTAGTGTCTGCTAATAAACGTCTCTGATGTAGTTGATTTTTGTTCGCGTCTCTCGACTTGACATCAGTAGAGAGGTAGTTGTATACTCACAATAAATACAGGCTTTCAGGAGTCTAAGCCTGTCTGACAGTCAAGTAAGCGGCCATCAACTGGGCTGTACAAGTCTATTCAAAGTCTATTTGGTACATTTCAGCTCCATCTGCAAGCCTACCACAACACCAGACATCACTTCCTCTCTCTCTGCCTAGCGTTAATGAGACTTGAGATATAGACTGCTGTGTGTGTTTGTGTGCATGTCCAACTGTCCGTGTGTGTGTGTGTGTGTTTCTGTCCCCCCAAAGCCTTACACTCTCCACACAGCGTTGATTGATGGAACATTATTGGTCTTGTGGGCCGCGACGGTCCGTATCAACCCGGGTTCTTAACACAAAGAACTACGAGTTGAAATCCCTGCTTCTCAGGAATCTTTATTTCTCCCTTTCATCCTCTGCCTGAAGCACATGACACACAGAACATTAGGCAGCTTGATTTATGAAGGCATCAGGGGCTGTGAATATGGAGCCATCTCCCCAAGTGGCAGGCATCTGCAGCATAATTCCACTGCAGCATAATGAATCAAACTTTGGATTTCGCCATTTTAGTGGGGAAGAAGCTACTGGTGTGTATCCATAAACACTTGAATATGTGAAAACACACTGAGATGTGGCTCACAATACAAGCATACATACACACCATGGGTGGTGAAGCATGCACACACACACACACACACACACACACAAACACACACAAATACACAAGTTATTGTAAAACCTTTCACTCAAATTTTTATTCACAGACAGACAATACAGCTTCCTCGCCACTTGTTTCCATAAAGTTTTGCCTGTTATCATTAACGTAGGTTGACGTTTATTGTCTTAGGCCAGCTGCAAAGTAAAAATAGGCTATATTGTAAATATTCATTAAATTATTTGTAGCTTTTTGGTCTTAATTTAAGGTTAGGCATTAGCGTTAGCAGTATGGTTAGGGATAGGCTTAAAATCAGATTGTATGACTGTGGCTGTGCCAGCTAGTGACCACTCTGTAGAGCTGCCTACAGAACAAGATTCATGATGAAAAACTCTAACCTGCATTGTTAACTGTATGGACAGAGTGGAAGATAAGTCTGAAGTGTCTGTGTGTTGATGTACCATTGCTGTAAAGCACTTGTCTCAGTGACGGATCTGCCAGACAGGGGGCATTGTTGAGCTGGGATTTTGAAGCCGTGGTGAGCCAATCATGACCAAGGTTTTCACATGACTAGAACCAATCAGGGCCAAGGCTGCAACGGCCTGGTGGCACTACCTGCTGGTCACAGTCTGGTGCCAGGGTTTGAGTAATGATGTCAGTCTGGCTCTACTTGCTTCTCTCTCTCTCTCTCTCTCTCTCTGCTGTGTCCTATTCCCCTCCTCCTCTGCCAGCTTGGATTCACACGCTTTTCCATTCTTCATCTGGCTTAACCATTTAAATCTAGAATCCTTAGTTGCTAAATCAATTTTTGGACTTATAAATTACTGATATATACCCATTAGTTCTTGAAGAATATAACTTGCCTCATGAGCTTAGTTCAACTGTCATACCCCATCAGAACCCAAAATATACGCTTACTCCAATGTTTGTTATAACGTAAATGTAAACAATCACTGTATAGCCTCAAAACATGGTTAAAACTATACATTTGTCAGTCCTTGCATCCATAGCTATGAATTTGAGAGTGGTTATATTTCTCCAGACCCCATCCCTTAGCTTTTTAGCGAAACAGGGGTGAGGAAAATGCTTTGGTATTCTTTCAATTAAGGATTATAGCTTAATAAATGATAGTGCAGGCTATATATAATAAATGTAGAGATGTGCTGGCGTGGAGGTGCCCCCTCAACAGTATTGCCTTATTATGGTAGAGAGAGAGAGATATTATGGAGGTGCTCCCTCTCAACATTATTGCCTTATCATGGTGGCTTAAGTGAGGAGGCGGGATGTATGGATCGCCTCTCCCACAGGAACACACTCTGTCGCCACCCAAGCCCAGATTTGTGTGTGTGTCAAAAAGATCCATGGCCCTCAGCGGAGAAGCACTAACACAGAAATGTACACACACAAACACCCATAAACACACACACATGCATCCACACGCACTCAGAACTAACTAACTAACACACACAGTCAACACTGCTGTTCTGTTACATACAATGTATTCCACTGCGTGACCAAGTCACTACCCACATTATATTGTAAAATACAGTGTAGTCCATTATTACTATGCATGCTACCTCTTCTATTACTTGTACTACTTGTTATTTTTGACTTGATTCTTGTTATTGTTATTATTGTTGTTGATTCATGTAGCACATAAGCATTTCACTGCACCTTTAATACCTGCTGTAAACTGTGTACGTGACAAATAACATTTGACTTGACTAAACCATGATTTCTGCCTGCATATGAACACATGCGTACACACACTCTCACATGCACACAGTCTTTTCTAAAGTTTTAATGCTCTACCACCTGTTCATCATATTCCTGTAAACACCATGGTTTACAGTAACATTTCAATGATTCAACCTCTCTTGCAGTCAGATAGAAGACCCATATAATTATATCTAAGACCTGTCTGTGGGAAGACCACTCAGTGAGCTTACATAGCAACAAACATACCCACAATGCTCCAACGCTCTAGGAGGCTAGAGGGTTATGTTGTGATATATATTCATGATTATTCCCCTCCTGCACAAACGTCAGTCTGTAACAGCAGGTTCAGTCATCTACAGTCCCAACGTCTATGATTCTCATATATTATATTATACAGTATG